CCCCCTCCCAACCTCTGCCCCATGCTGCATGTCCCCCTGTGCCGCACGCACCACCCCAGGGCACCCGGAGGGGCCGCGCGCTGCGCAGTGCCACCGACCCCAATAAAACCCACACACTGCCGGGTGCCACTGCTGTCCCCTTCTCTTCTCGTTCCCCACCTTGGAAGGGGGATGGGATGCAGTGTCCCCACGGGGTGCAGTTGGAGGTGAGCGGGTTTGGGGTGCCCTGTTGTGCGTAACCTACAAAGGCGGCCCCGTTCCCAGCGAGGCGGTGATGTTTCAGGTTTAGTGCTGGGGCGGGCGAGAAGAAATAGGACAATGACAAAGAAACCCCAAACCGCCACCGCCAGCCCCAGGGTGATGGCACAGCCAAACCCCAGCACTGCAGGGCCAAGCGACGTCGGGTTGCTGCCTTTTGGAGGGTCCCAATGCAGGGAGTGGGGCTGTGGGGGGCTTGCCCCAAATCGGAGAGCTATGAGTGTGTTGTGGAGCCCCCACCCTGAGCTGCTCACTGTGCTGAGCATCACTGAGGTTTTTTTTGAGGGTGGGGGGCACCCAGCAGGACCTCAGAGTGAGCTCTGCCCCATTCCCATGCTGTGGGATGGGCGGAGGGGTGAGGAAACTGCCTGCACACTCTGTGTGTGGGGGCAGAGCGCAGAGGAAGCGGTGAGGTGTGGGGTGGGGGTACGGGGGGGGGGTGATCCCCATAGCACAGCATTGGGGTGACGGATGGGTTCGCACCTCCTTGGCATCTCCAGCACCACCGCTTCTCCCTCTGTGTGTTTCTGTAGGGCCTACAGTAACCCTGTGTGCACAGAGGGTTAGGGAGATCCCTGGGTTGGGGGGAGGAGTGAGAAGAGGGGGGGGGGGTGTTCAACCAACTTGGTACCCCGCAGAGTTGTGCAAACAGAGCCAAGCTGCCCAAAATTCGCCTTTTTTGGGGGGGCAAACCGTGCCCGGCAGTGGAACGCATCTCTGTGATGAGTTCTTCATCCCCTCCCCGGGAGGTGCAGCGTACAGCGGGGATGGGGGGGGTAAAGGAGGGGGGTGGGGGGGAGAACCGGCTCTGCTCCCCACCGCCCGGGGCCGTGCGCGGAGCCGCGGCGATGGTGTGAAGCAGATACGGCTGTGGGAGCGCAGCAGCTGCGCGGTGTTATCGCCGCCGATCTCTGCTGCTGCTGCTGCTTTGGAGGTGCGGGGGGAGGAGGGGGGCAAAGCACCGGGATCCGGGGTTCAGGGAGCAGG